CATAGCCTAAACGTTAATCATTACATGCCATAACGCGGATTAAATACAGATACACTGACTCTTCTATTATCCATACGCTACACTCTAGTCTAAATGATACAAGGAATTGCCCTCTCGCGCAAAGAGGCCTGGGCAAAGAGGTTTATTCTGGAAAACTCCCTCTTCTAAGAGTTCTCTGACTATAGTAATATAAATTATGATTCAGACGATAGTCCAACACATTTATTTTACAGCTTCGACATTTCTCAACCATTCACATAGTGGCGTTGTCTAACACTTGTGTATATTTCAGGTTCTGCGTCGGTGACAGGTTCTACTTGTGTGAGAACAAGATTCTGTGCGAGTATGACTACGAGGAGCGTCTAGTGTTCGCTAACATGGCTTACAACCCTACACATAGTGGCGTTGTCTAACACTTGTGTCTATTTCAGGTTCTGCGTCGGTGACAGGTTCTACTTGTGTGAGAACAAGATTCTGTGCGAGTACGACTACGAGGAGCGTCTAGTGTTCGCTAACATGGCTTACAACCCTACACATAGTGGCATTGTCTAACACTTGTGTCTATTTCAGGTTCTGCGTCGGTGACAGGTTCTACTTGTGTGAGAACAAGATTCTGTGCGAGTACGACTACGAGGAGCGTCTAGTGTTCGCCAACATGGCTTACAACCCTACACATAGTGGCGTTGTCTAACACTTGTGTCTATTTCAGGTTCTGCGTCGGTGACAGGTTCTACTTGTGTGAGAACAAGATTCTGTGCGAGTATGACTACGAGGAGCGTCTAGTGTTCGCCAACATGGCTTACAACCCTACACATAGTGGCGTTGTCTAACACGTGTCTATTTCAGGTTCTGCGTCGGTGACAGGTTCTACTTGTGTGAGAACAAGATTCTGTGCGAGTACGACTACGAGGAGCGGCTAGTGTTCGCCAACATGGCTTACAACCCTACACATAGTGGCGTTGTCTAACACTTGTGTCTATTTCAGGTTCTGCGTCGGTGACAGGTTCTACTTGTGTGAGAACAAGATTCTGTGCGAGTATGACTACGAGGAGCGTCTAGTGTTCGCTAACATGGCTTACAACCGTACACATAGTGGCGTTGTCTAACACGTGTCTATTTCAGGTTCTGCGTCGGTGACAGGTTCTACTTGTGTGAGAACAAGATTCTGTGCGAGTATGACTACGAGGAGCGTCTAGTGTTTGCTAACATGGCTTACAACCGTACACATAGTGGCGTTGTCTAACACGTGTCTATTTCAGGTTCTGCGTCGGTGACAGGTTCTACTTGTGTGAGAACAAGATTCTGTGCGAGTACGACTACGAGGAGCGGCTAGTGTTCGCCAACATGGCTTACAACCCTACACATAGTGGCGTTGTCTAACACTTGTGTCTATTTCAGGTTCTGCGTCGGTGACAGGTTCTACTTGTGTGAGAACAAGATTCTGTGCGAGTATGACTACGAGGAGCGTCTAGTGTTCGCTAACATGGCTTACAACCGTACACATAGTGGCGTTGTCTAACACGTGTCTATTTCAGGTTCTGCGTCGGTGACAGGTTCTACTTGTGTGAGAACAAGATTCTGTGCGAGTACGACTACGAGGAGCGTCTAGTGTTCGCCAACATGGCTTACAACCGTACACATAGTGGCGTTGTCTAACACTTGTGTCTATTTCAGGTTCTGCGTCGGTGACAGGTTCTACTTGTGTGAGAACAAGATTCTGTGCGAGTATGACTACGAGGAGCGTCTAGTGTTCGCCAACATGGCTTACAACCCTACACATAGTGGCGTTGTCTAACACTTGTGTCTATTTCAGGTTCTGCGTCGGTGACAGGTTCTACTTGTGTGAGAACAAAATTCTGTGCGAGTACGACTACGAGGAGCGTCTAGTGTTCGCCAACATGGCTTACAACCCTACACATAGTGGCGTTGTCTAACACTTGTGACTATTTCAGGTTCTGCGTCGGTGACAGGTTCTACTTGTGTGAGAACAAGATTCTGTGCGAGTATGACTACGAGGAGCGGCTAGTGTTCGCCAACATGGCTTACAACCCTACACATAGTGGCGTTGTCTAACACTTGTGTCTATTTCAGGTTCTGCGTCGGTGACAGGTTCTACTTGTGTGAGAACAAGATTCTGTGCGAGTATGACTACGAGGAGCGTCTAGTGTTCGCCAACATGGCTTACAACCCTACACATAGTGGCGTTGTCTAACACGTGTCTATTTCAGGTTCTGCGTCGGTGACAGGTTCTACTTGTGTGAGAACAAGATTCTGTGCGAGTACGACTACGAGGAGCGGCTAGTGTTCGCCAACATCGCTTACAACCCTACACATAGTGGTGTTGTCTAACACTTGTGTCTATTTCAGGTTCTGCGTCGGTGACAGGTTCTACTTGTGTGAGAACAAGATTCTGTGCGAGTATGACTACGAGGAGCGTCTAGTGTTCGCTAACATGGCTTACAACCGTACACATAGTGGCGTTGTCTAACACTTGTGTCTATTTCAGGTTCTGCGTCGGTGATAGGTTCTACTTGTGTGAGAACAAGATTCTGTGCGAGTACGACTACGAGGAGCGGCTAGTGTTCGCCAACATGGCTTACAACCCTACACATAGTGGCGTTGTCTAACACTTGTGTCTATTTCAGGTTCTGCGTCGGTGATAGGTTCTACTTGTGTGAGAACAAGATTCTGTGCGAGTACGACTACGAGGAGCGGCTAGTGTTCGCCAACATGGCTTACAACCCTACACATAGTGGCGTTGTCTAACACTTGTGTTTATTTCAGGTTCTGCGTCGGTGATAGGTTCTACTTGTGTGAGAACAAGATTCTGTGCGAGTACGACTACGAGGAGCGGCTAGTGTTCGCCAACATGGCTTACAACCCTACACATAGTGGCGTTGTCTAACACTTGTGTATATTTCAGGTTCTGCGTCGGTGATAGGTTCTACTTGTGTGAGAACAAGATTCTGTGCGAGTATGACTACGAGGAGCGGCTAGTGTTCGCTAACATGGCTTACAACCGTACACATAGTGGCGTTGTCTAACACGTGTCTATTTCAGGTTCTGCGTCGGTGACAGGTTCTACTTGTGTGAGAACAAGATTCTGTGCGAGTATGACTACGAGGAGCGGCTAGTGTTCGCTAACATGGCTTACAACCGTACACATAGTGGCGTTGTCTAACACGTGTCTATTTCAGGTTCTGCGTCGGTGACAGGTTCTACTTGTGTGAGAACAAGATTCTGTGCGAGTATGACTACGAGGAGCGTCTAGTGTTCGCCAACATGGCTTACAACCCTACACATAGTGGCGTTGTCTAACACGTGTCTATTTCAGGTTCTGCGTCGGTGACAGGTTCTACTTGTGTGAGAACAAGATTCTGTGCGAGTACGACTACGAGGAGCGGCTAGTGTTCGCCAACATCGCTTACAACCCTACACATAGTGGTGTTGTCTAACACTTGTGTCTATTTCAGGTTCTGCGTCGGTGACAGGTTCTACTTGTGTGAGAACAAGATTCTGTGCGAGTATGACTACGAGGAGCGTCTAGTGTTCGCTAACATGGCTTACAACCGTACACATAGTGGCGTTGTCTAACACTTGTGTCTATTTCAGGTTCTGCGTCGGTGATAGGTTCTACTTGTGTGAGAACAAGATTCTGTGCGAGTACGACTACGAGGAGCGGCTAGTGTTCGCCAACATGGCTTACAACCCTACACATAGTGGCGTTGTCTAACACTTGTGTCTATTTCAGGTTCTGCGTCGGTGATAGGTTCTACTTGTGTGAGAACAAGATTCTGTGCGAGTACGACTACGAGGAGCGGCTAGTGTTCGCCAACATGGCTTACAACCCTACACATAGTGGCGTTGTCTAACACTTGTGTTTATTTCAGGTTCTGCGTCGGTGATAGGTTCTACTTGTGTGAGAACAAGATTCTGTGCGAGTACGACTACGAGGAGCGGCTAGTGTTCGCCAACATGGCTTACAACCCTACACATAGTGGCGTTGTCTAACACTTGTGTATATTTCAGGTTCTGCGTCGGTGATAGGTTCTACTTGTGTGAGAACAAGATTCTGTGCGAGTATGACTACGAGGAGCGGCTAGTGTTCGCTAACATGGCTTACAACCGTACACATAGTGGCGTTGTCTAACACGTGTCTATTTCAGGTTCTGCGTCGGTGACAGGTTCTACTTGTGTGAGAACAAGATTCTGTGCGAGTACGACTACGAGGAGCGGCTAGTGTTCGCCAACATGGCTTACAACCCTACACATAGTGGCGTTGTCTAACACTTGTGTCTATTTCAGGTTCTGCGTCGGTGACAGGTTCTACTTGTGTGAGAACAAGATTCTGTGCGAGTACGACTACGAGGAGCGTCTAGTGTTCGCCAACATGGCTTACAACCCTACACATAGTGGCGTTGTCTAACACTTGTGTATATTTCAGGTTCTGCGTCGGTGACAGGTTCTACTTGTGTGAGAACAAGATTCTGTGTGAGTATGACTACGAGGAGCGTCTAGTGTTCGCCAACATGGCTTACAACCGTACACATAGTGGCGTTGTCTAACACTTGTGTCTATTTCAGGTTCTGCGTCGGTGACAGGTTCTACTTGTGTGAGAACAAGATTCTGTGCGAGTATGACTACGAGGAGCGTCTAGTGTTCGCCAACATGGCTTACAACCCTACACATAGTGGCGTTGTCTAACACTTGTGTCTATTTCAGGTTCTGCGTCGGTGACAGGTTCTACTTGTGTGAGAACAAGATTCTGTGCGAGTACGACTACGAGGAGCGTCTAGTGTTCGCCAACATGGCTTACAACCCTACACATAGTGGCGTTGTCTAACACTTGTGTCTATTTCAGGTTCTGCGTCGGTGACAGGTTCTACTTGTGTGAGAACAAGATTCTGTGCGAGTACGACTACGAGGAGCGTCTAGTGTTCGCCAACATGGCTTACAACCGTACACATAGTGGCGTTGTCTAACACTTGTGTCTATTTCAGGTTCTGCGTCGGTGACAGATTCTACTTGTGTGAGAACAAGATTCTGTGCGAGTATGACTACGAGGAGCGTCTAGTGTTCGCCAACATGGCTTACAACCCTCCCAGCATCGCGGCGCTGAAGCGACACACCAGTCATCTACCGGTAAGCCACCTTCAGAGATGAAACATACACTCATCATGTGTTATAGTACTCTTCATGTGTCCATTTATACGTCTAACGGGCATACATTGTGTATGAAACACATTGAAATGATCCAAAGTTTAATTGATTCAACAAACACACTGGTAATCATTGTATCATTTATATGTTAATTCATATACCATTGTATCCTTCATACGTTCATTGATACTCCAAACATCAATTAATCAGGTAAATGTATATAATTTACCTGTGTACCCTTTTATGTCGACAACACCAAACACACTATATTATATCCACGTACCCTTCATCCCCTAACACACTAATTGGCGGTCCCCCTAATTGGGGTATATCCCAGGGAGGGATATACCCCCTCCCCCCGAAATAATTTGTATTTTATTAGCTAACATAAATTTTGGAACACAAATACGTATAAAAATATGTTTTCAGGCTTTAAACTCCAAATATTTCCGAGGGGTACCCCAGGACCCACCTTTATTCTGGGAAATATTACATACCCCCAGACCCGGTGGTCATCTCCCCCCGAAATGAAATTCTGGGACCACCACTGAACACCCTACTTGATACTAATTCAGTGATACTTGTAAGCCATGGTGTTTTTATCAGCCTACATTGATAGTTTTAAGTCTTGAACGTACGTATCCCTTACCTCTATTGCATTTTTAAATCATATCGCCGTTTAAGTAGTCATAATGATAATCAATCAAATTGTCTATTTGAAAGAGACTAAACTTGTTTAATACGACGGAAAAATTCACTTTCAATCTAACCGGCTACAAAACCCTCCCGCGGGAAATGGATACAAAAGTGATCCTCCACAGTGGCGGTGTATCGCACAAAGGATAATTAATGATGTTGGACAGAAGACGTCGGCATCAATCACCTGTACAATGCTGATCGGTGATCGCGGTCTCAGCAGCTATTGTCCCGCCAAATCTCTCTTTGCTTTCAATTAAACCTTTTATCTGAGATTGACGCTTTCCCGCGAAAATTGACACGTCGAGCGTACGCTCGCACAACAGCTGTATTTTGTATGGTAGTTCAGTCTCCGAGGAGGGTTGAGTTCAATAGTTGCAGTATCGTCAATGGGGTTGGCCACTCATTTGTCATGCGACTTGAGGAGGACAACGTGTGATTATTCAATTTAATAATTAATGAATTAATGAACAATTAATTTATTTAATTTAGTGATGAAAGTTTTTCACTCCATGACGAACCAAAAACAGGGCAACGTTCAATTTAAAACGTACTCAATCCATTCTTTGACGACAGTCTAGAAAAATCGGAGTTGGTTCCTGCAATGCACTCTTGTCTTGCGCTATGAGGAGAGTTAAAATATACAGGATTATTAGTATGGATTTCTTACAGGTTAAACTGCAACTGGGACTTACAGTTTTTCTTTTTAATTCCTCCTGTGCTGCGGAAACTTACTAACACTAGTTAACTATACGAATATAATGTAGTAGCGATGTAGTAGTAGTAGTGAACTAACTATCCTTATGAAACAGGTTGGCTCTGATTTTGTCTGGTGGCGTTTGGTTGAGGGGTTGCCTTCTATTTCCTTTTAGTTACATTAAAAACATTAATGTTACGAGTATTATGATCACATATAACAATGTATAAGTAAATTACTGATTTCCCTTCTAGGGTTAACCACAAAGAAAGACCTAGTTGACATCAAACCTTCCAAGCGTTACCGGATAAACACACATCAAACCATGCTAAGGATTTTTCATCATGATGGAAATGTCAATTGCTTTAGTGATTCATCTTACAGTTTAGTAATCAAACAAAACGCTTGGCTAGAGTCCCTTCTTTGGAATACATTTTCTTGCCACTTAACAAATGAAAGTAGGAGTGAGAGTTGAAATCTCGGGTGTTTTATCTCTCGGTGGTAAATCAAGGTAAGGAGTGTAGAGAAGGTGTTTACGCCATCCATTGCACTTAGGCGACGATCAGGTGGCTTGGCTAACGAGCAAACAGACTGGCAGGAAATGTGGCATATTTATGGCGGGAAAAGGGTGAAGAAGAAGAACTACCCCCTCCGAACGCGGGGAACCGCAAGACCACAGAGTATAATGATTATAAGTGTATTCTGAAGAGATGCTGTATGATTTATTCTTAAAAATATATTTTTTACGGGTATTAGGTGGTAATAATCCCTAAATTTAGATAAATTTGACATGCATAGTAGGTATAACATTCGATACAACATTATGCAATTACAATCGTTAATATTAAAAAGGGAATTGAGTGCGTTTCGCACGGAGAAGAAACGTATGCTACCCTGTATTGTATTGAGCCAATTATTGAAAATATACGTGTCAACATCTATACCCGTTATTCTGTGCATTTTAAAACAATTAATTCGTGTTCTTAGGTATTATATGTTAAAATAGAAGTAAGGGAAATTAAAAAAACTTACAATTGTTAAGTTTTGTGTTGATTGAGAATAACGTAGATGATTTTTTTTTTTAATTCAATGTATTTTTCTGGTAATTAAATTGTATTCACATTTTGGTTAGCTAAAATACCTTTACATCTATATCCAAACGGAAATATATATTTAACTGTTTTTGTGCGATCTGCTTTTACGTCTACAACCGAAAAATAAATTGGAAAATCGCAACGAATGAGCAAGGCGATGAGGAATCATTTAAAACCTGGTTAGTTCAAAAGAATACCAAACTTTAATTACCACCATTTTCGAAGTAATTTTGAAAATGACTTTACTAAGGCCATTGTTGGTCTTACAGGTTTAAAGTCGGACCTTGCGAGAATCTTCTCTTCCGAGAGTACTTCCGTAAGTACTTATTACTTTTCGAATCAAATATGCTTCGCAACTTGATTGTTTGGCTTGCATTTTCAATCTGAAATTACTTGATACTTCATTAGTAAAATTTGAAATCAGCTCTCAAGCTGTTGTAGGACCCTATACACACCTTAACTTGAACTTGAATCAATTCAATCTAACAGGATAACAAAATTATAAAGATTATTGCTTGAGTCAAGCATCATTAAACTTAATATTTGGAAAGGTATTCAGTTGAAATAAAATTTTCCAAATGTTATTTGTAAGGCATTTTCTTTGTCAAAGGTATTCATAAATTTTTATAACACGATGTATTTACACCTATTATATAATATTTAAATTTATGCAAAATAAAAGCAATTACAAATTCTCAGCATTCCAAATGATGTAGTAAACATCGCCAAATGGTTTAGCTTTTAGCATTTTGGTCACAAGCATGGTTACTGGCTTCGGGTTTTTATCCAAAAACATTTTACAAGTAGAATGCACGTTATTGCATAGATCTTTGATATTATTTATTTTCATTAAAGTAAAATGCATGAGACGTCTATTAGCATAACTTACTCATCGGTGAACAAATATTTATGAAGTGTTCCACAATTAATTCTATTATATCAGTATAGATAATATTTAGTAGATTATTTAAATAAAAAAAATTAACAGAGCCACTAAATATGAAAAGACATCTATTTAAATTACAGTTAAAGTCATATTCAGAGTTTGGCGTATCTTTTGTTTTAGTCGTTCAAATTATGAAAAAGTGTACGAAATATTGTATTCTATTTTTAGTTACGTTAGCTACACATTCAGAAAGTTAAATTGTCAGTTATTGATGTAAATCATAAAAAACTATATTTGTGGCCAATCATAGTTTGAAATGATGAGGTTGAGAAGCTGAAAAATTAAAAAGTAATACAAAATTTTGTAAAACGACAAAGTGTGTTGTATTAGAAAGTGGGAGTTTTGTTATAATGCCAATAACTGTAGACTTTTATCAGCGGGACAAGTCCACCTGACCAGAAATTAAAAAAATAACAAGTTTTTTTCAATGTAAGGAGAATTTTTTTAACTTCTGTAAAATCATCTACTAAACTTATAAAAATACGACCACCGTCCAACATAATTGTAGAATACACTTCAAACCGTAGATATTCCTACAGTAATGTCCTCCCGACGGTGTCAAGAGACTAATAAAACTGTTGTCAACCTCGGATGACGTTCACAAACTCCTTTGAACAGTTTAATCGTCACGTCTAGAGATAATCCTGCGTTGGGACGCGCGTCACGTCCAGGTATAAGACAAGGACCAATTAAAGGGGGCGAATCCTGCGATCCTGCGGGCGATCAGGTAATCTCGGTGATAAGGAGCCACTTGTTTCCTTAGGACCTGTTGTCTTGATAAGGAGATTATCTGTACAAGCACCTCCGCCTTGGGTAAACAAATATCTTGAGAGGCTTCGGCTGTAACATCACAGGTATTGAGCGTCGTTGTACCTGGTTACTGTGAAATTATTTTAATATACATTTTCGGGTGGATGTCAAATTTGGGAAAAAGTATATATTTTTAAGAAGTAACGGGTAACACACAACATATTTTAAGAGGAGATACTCGCTCCTTCAAAAACATTGGGGAAGACCAAGGATATCGAGAACTTTTTTGTTTGTATAATTCTTAGGGGCGAATTTTCAAACTTGCACAAGCAAACTTGTTTTGTTAATTTTCAGATTGGCAGAAATGTATTTTAGCAATGGAATTTTCATTAACATGACCTCTGAAGGAAATCCTCAAATTTGCATAGAACCCATTATTCGGGATAATAGTTCAAATTGTCATGACACAAATTTTTTTAGAGTATATGTTTGGAAGAAGCAGACATTCATTTTGTAAAATCTTGTATTTGAAAAATAACTCCTTTAAAAGAGGTGTGTTGACTGGCAAAGTTATACTATGGTAAAAGTTTGCATTAGCTTAAACATACTTAAAGTGAATGTTTATATCTGCGCAAATGTGCATACTTGTTCAGCGCAAATACTGGAATATGAAATGTTTTAAATAGTTAAATAAAAGCGCGCCTTATATACATATTTTTAAATTCCATGTCATATCTTCCGAGACAACCTTACAAATCACTTAACACTATCCTCCTCGCAAAGAGAGTGTAAAAAGAATAAAGACCGAGTCGTTAGCGAATCAACAGGCAAGGATATCATCATTTCCTGGGCAAAAGGAGATATTATGGAAACAAAAACAATTCTTCTCAAGTAAATGGACTGCCTTAACAGGGCAGTGGTAAATAATTGTGTGGGTTTGGGCCAGCTGTTAGGGGAAGGGGGAGGACAAATGGGGGCTGCCTCTCTGAATAACACGCAGCCTCTAATTCCAGACATTTTGCTCAAGAAAAAATGTCTTGGTGTAATCGGCCTTCCCCCATCTTCTGGGTGGAGCACTCTCTTGGCAAATGTTCTGTTGATGGGTGGATGATATCGGTTTTACCTTCTTAGATTACCTATGAAGTGGTTTCTGGGGGAAATATTGTAAAATTAAATGTCTCGAACACATTATTGCTTAAATTGTAATATTCAGAATTATACCTGACCTCGAATGTGTTGTGAGAATATTAACTATACATTTAAAAAAAATCTATCAATTTTTGAAAGTCTATTCTAATTTTGTCATTTATTATGGCAAAGTGTGTTATTAAATGAGCTTCTACTTTGCAAGAGAGACGCTGGAGCAGCGCAAAGATGAACTTTTTCGATCAGATTCAATGTCACCTCTAAGGCTTGTATTATTAATTTTTTACAAATAATCTCCAATTATTTTACCGTGTCGTTTTTAGGCTAATCGATTTTTATCGAGCTGTTAGTTGAGCCACTAATCACTAGAGGGATTATTTTCACAATTTTAATTTTTTTAATTAGTTGCAAATCTGGGAATCGCTTTTACAAAATACTTTATAAAAAATGCATTAGTAGGCTTACCATAGTGGCCACCTTTATCTAAGGGCCATAGTTGATATAGGTTTCACACAGTGGCTGACTATCGAGTTATATTTTTTCCGTTAGTTTCTCGTAATACAAAACTATTATAGAGACATTAAATATTGTTTTTATTGCCAACGATAAGTTGCCAATTCATTTTAGCACTAGTTTTCACGAGTACAAACTTGTGGATAAGGAACCGGTATTTCGCACCAGCGGTTCATGCATGTATTGTAAGTAATTTTCAAATTCTACATTCACAGTAATGATTACCTGATCAACTACAGATTACCAACCAATGAACTCTGTACCCTCGCAGGTGATTTCTCCCCGTTAACGCGTCGCAACGCAGAGATGTGCCGCAAATCGCGCTCATTTGTCGTGTGAGCCGCCAGCCGCACCGGCAATTTGGCCCTGACGTCGCCCAATACTTGATTCAGATAAATTGAGAGTTTAACAAAGTTTTCGCCGCTCCCCTCCCCACAATTATCGCCAATCATTTGTTACCGGGGATTGTGTCTCTCACACGCACACACTCACACCAATTGTATTCGTGTTTCTTTCCAACGCATCTTTGACGTCTGTTGTTAGTGTGACATTGTTTGATTGTTTTAGATATGTGTAGAACGGATATTTATATAGCTTTTGTCAAACATTTTCCCAAAGACAGTAGGTCCTATTTAATATTTTATTCATATGATATGGAATCTAACTCATCGCACTTACTCATGCACAATTTTAATTACTTCCACGCGGTAATTGTGTATTTATGTTTAGTATTCATTAATAGTTTTACTATTTTTCATCAGTACGATCAAGCATACACATTTTTATGAATTTTTTCAACGCATCTTCGATGTTTTTTGTGTCTTGTTCAAGTTTCATTGCTGAGAGTTTACTCTTAATCGTACTACTTCCTTTTGTATTGAATACACTTAGATCTGATATGTCTGTAGAGGGTGCAATGATGTAGACAAAATTGGTCTCTATGTTTTAAACTGAATTTTAAATCATTTCATTCAAATTGAACGACATTCACGTAAACAACTACTTCTCCCCTCATATATCTAAAGAGTGAAGCCGTCTGTAAAACTTAATCGAACATTAATGCATACTAAATCCAACTTTAGATTTTTACTGGGTAATAAGTAATCTAATTGCAGAATGTCAATCAATATTATATAATATAGTGTAACTAACGCGATGAAAGGGTAAAACTACTCTTCTTCAGATGCTCAGATGCTTAAAAGAGCATAAGTGGTCTACTTGCAGTACTTATAATGTCAATGGTTTATATCGTATGCATATAACAACTTTACGCGATAGAAGGTTAACTATTCTTATTTTGCCAATGTGTTTATTCTATAAGCCTCCTTATCCCTTTGAATGTTCAGCCCACGCCACGCCACACGATTTCTAAGTTCTTGTCACAGTCGCTGTACCGTGTAGGTCTCCAATAATTCACCACAGTCTGCCTATGCTCGCTCTTGCTCTAATCCGTCAATTTCCGGTCATTTCTGCCAATCGGATTGACAAAGACGGCTTTGCTCGGCGCTGATTGGTTTAAAAAGTCATGAGTACAGGCTGTAGAACAGTGCATGCGGGTTAAGTTGTATTTGCGTAACAATTTCACTAATTTACACAATATTTTCTCATTTACTATTGAATTTATGAACTTCAAAAGTGAATGTAGCATTAGGTGGACAAGTAAATTTGTAATGGATAATTAGGTACAACGCAAGTTTTAAACGTGCAAATATTTAATTAGATTATAAAGTTCGTATTGTTAAATAATGTTAAGTCAAATCTCAACGAGTAATTGACATTGATTTTTCTATCATTCAATTTTCTATTCAAACGTACAAAACGTTCCACGATTTTCTATTCAAACATTCAAATATTTCTACGATTCCCAATAAAGTGTTCATAAATCGTGTCATGTTTTACTTGAATTGCTGATAAAATTTCAGAAAGATGTATTCCTGCAATACAATAAATCAACGATTAATTTATTTTGGCCAAGTTGTCTCATTCATTGTTCGTAGATGAACTTTCTGATAAGTATCGAGAGTCTATAAACCGCTATGCACTCGAAAATCAGCTGGTAGTTACAATGCTATCATTATGTATCACTCGATAGCTACGTCATGTCAACTCCTCACTGATGTGTTTCTCCTGTTCCAGCCCAGCAACCCTCCAGGCAGGTCCGGCCAAGAAGGTCGACACCCCGAGACCAACGGACACCACTATCCTCCACCCCCAGGCGCTTCCAACGACCCTCCACTCCTGTTCGACGTCAAATGATCACCTCGCGTCTAGACTTCGCCCCCTCGGACCCTTGGACCTACTTTACATATTCCGACAATAATAAGTCGAATGTCCACAGCTATACGCGTCTCTGGACTATGAATGTTTGTAAATGTTTTAAACTCATACATCGGAATACTCATACGAAATATTATCTCCTTGGATGTAATTTGTTGTTAATGGAAATATTTTTGTTTCGGAAATATTGGAGATATTTAAACTTGAAGCCCTAGTGTGGCGGGTTCCGAATACTTAAGCTAAAGATGAACATTCCATATTAGTTTATAACATTCCATAAAATATTATTTTGCGATCTCAGAAACCAAAGATAGGAATTAAAGGACTCAATTTTAGTATAGTTTGTCTGTAAATTACTAGGTTTATATAATTTTTTTTGAAGAAATTTTTGTTATACTGTAGTTATTTTTTAATCGTGCTTATTGTATTTTCAACCAATTAGTGATATTTTGTGGTATATATTTTTAACCCTACATTTTTTACCTACGGTAAAGTGTCATTTTGAAATAAATGTGATCTTTTTTTAAGATTTTATTTGTTATTTCACCGAACTGTCCCATATCTTCCTTCTAAACTAGCAATGTTTAAACTTCCAGTCAGTATTTAAACTTCATAAGCCTCATAAATTCCACGATAGTTTCATCATTATTTGATTAATGACACTGTTTAGTATGTAAATATGTTAATTGACTCCATTCAGATTATTTGTTGAGTTGTTAATGTATATAATATTGTTGTTATTAGTGATATTACTGTCTTAGTTATAGTATGATTTGGAATCCGTGTATGTACAAATAGGCTACCATATTATGTTATGATAAATGGTTAGGAATTTTGTCTAACCGCAATTTTTACTTTGGTATAGCGATTATTAATATAAAACCCCCTAGTAATCGAAGACACATTGTCTCCTTATATTTAACATGAACTAATGTATGATTATGATTACTCCAAATTTTCTACCATAATGTAATCGAAGGTATGATTCTGCCCAAGTGAAATTGTAACAGATTAATTCTTTCACTGCCAAATTTAATTTGATACCATACAGTCCATTAATTTGGCAATACTTTCGACTTTATATTGATAAGAAAAATAGCTAAGAATATATTAACTCTGTAGTTAAGATGTATGTATCTGTATACATCAAAATAATTTGACTAAGAATCTTTCACAATCACTATTGTAAACATTTGCTTTGTATACTGAAGTAGATATCCCATCTTTTGGGCTTTTGTAGCTCGGATTTTTAATTAAAGGATACATTTGGTTGAGTTTTTAAAATAGCAGTATGCATTTGAAGTTCTATTTTCACTTACAGGTTGTCATTATTAGGGAGTTGAGAAAGACATGAAATATGCTATAGTTTACTTAACTTTCCCTTTAGATTATCACTTCAATAATTGATGTGTTTTTCAATTATAAACAAAATTTACAAAAAATAATACTGTATTTTTACAGCAGCCTACTATACTGGTAGCTCAATTAAACTGTTGAACGAAGCATAATTTCGAAAAAATTGGAGTGGAATATATATTTTACATTAGTGTATTTAAATCGAAGGTGTACGATTATAATAAATAATATTGTTGTACATAAAGATCAGTTTACCGTGTAGATAATTTATTGTTAGTTATGTTGAAAATACGAAAGTTGGTAATGTACTCCAAATACGATGGTTACCTCGATGTATAAATGTACTTATCTTATCCGAATAAAATGAAAGTCCATATCATTAAACCGTTATTTTATTCACCTAGTGTTAACATTGTTAATGTTAAATACCGGAACAGAATTCAATTATAGCGGTTTTAAAGCTGTTCAGTGATATAGATTGTAATAGTGTAGGTATTTTAATCGCTCTTGGAACCTTTTAAAATAAATTCTTACTGAAAGTAAGGAAAATGTGTTCTGATGTTAATTACAGCAAAACATATTTTAAGGTGATAGAAGTCTCATACTTAAGGGTATTTCAAAACCGGTAGAATAGCTACATTATATTAAATACTTGTCGTTCTTTAAATCAACGTTTAGTAGTAACTCTTTGCTAATTGGGCAATGATTGCAAAACAATATAATATTTACTCATAATAATAAGGGATTTCAAAAACGAGTATTTTTTTAAAGTCCTAAAATAACGCAATACCTTTGACAAAGAATATTCTAAAAGTTAGCTAGGTATGACAAGTGGGGAGTCGCAGTTAACGAATAATAATAAAACTGATATGAAACACAACAAATCTATATTTATATCTATAAAAGGGGAAGTTTGTATATATATTTATACAGTATATTTGAAAGTTATGGACTCCTAAACCACTCGACAGATTGTAATGAAACTTTCAGGTATTATTAAGCATTATTCAAGGATGGTTAGTAAGAAGTTTGGTGCAGATCCGTCAAAAGGACTCCGGCCCAGTGGCTCTGGAGTTTCCCAAGTTAACCTTATGAGTAGGCCTACTTATATTCAAACAGAAATAAAGAATCTTAACAGCTGGTGCAACCAAAAGTTGAGTGAGCGAAACGAACAAACTTCAACCTGGAGGCGAGTTAGCGTAACGAACAAGCTAAACCTTAAGGAAAGTGAGCGCAACGAACGAGCTCCAACCTAAAGGTGAGTTAAGCGTAGCAAACGAACTTCAACCAGGGCGTGATTGAGCGATGCGAACGAACTCATTTTGAAAATTAAGAAGCATTTGACATAAAAACACATTAGGACAGGACGACGTCTGTCGGACAGCTAGTATCTATTTAATTATAATGAAATAATAATTAAATAAATAATGAAAAATAATGTAAATAATGAAAATAGCTCAACATAACAAACCAACAACAACACAATATAACCTAAAATTATAAACAGATAATAATAATTAATAATTCAAAAATCTAGCGCAAATCAAAGAGAGATCAATATACTCTATAATATGAAACACATGATCTATCACTGAGGATTTCTTGATACGTCAAGTCTAACACAACCAAAACAATTATTAATAATTATTAATTATTAATTATTAATAATGATCTTGTAACTAAGGAGTTATGAGATTGTGTTGGATGATGTTTTTATTATTATAATAAAAACATCATCCAACACAATCTCATAACTCCTTGGTTACAAGATCACTATTCAAACGTCTCAATCCTTCCTTTCCGGGAGTTGAGACACAACAGGGTGTAATTTGTGTGTGAGGGAGAGACAAGGGAGAGGAGGGAGGTACTAACTGTTAGATAAGAACATCTTATCACCACAGTACAACATCACATAACAGCTGATGCCTCTGGTGTATTGTATTGTAGTCTGACCAAAGCAATCGTCTGTTTATGTCAAGGATCTAATTACAGTTGTTAATGGAATGTGGAAACTCCTTCAAGATTTCATCTTATTGTTGAGTAGATTGGTGTTTAGGGATGGAAGTTGATGTTCCATTGTGTACTATGAAGCTTGTCTTGTGTGTCTCATTATGGTTACCTAAGTTGGATGAGGAATACAACTATGAGTAAAATAAATTTACTCATAATAAAGTATTTATTTGGTAGCAGTGGGAAGAATAAAATACGAAATTGACTATTGAGTTACCTTGTGTTCTATGAAATGGTTAAGTTGTACATTTGGTTAAATTGTACAAGAAAACAATTATAACAAATTGGTCCAAGAAGTGGAACTTCATTAGAGAATAACATAGTTTAAAAATGCCATACGTATTTCAATAGATTGTAGACACGAAATCTACTCTCTTATCCAAAAATATTGTTGAAAACAGTATTTTCATTACATATCGTATAGAATATGGATATAAAATCAGTTTTGGAGCATACAGTAAACAGTCTAAAGATATATTTCTTACTGAACTAAAGAGTTGAGAGTAAAAAATGAATAGTTCAATAACTCTAGTACCCAAATGATGACGAAAACAACCAAGTCAACGAATTATAATCTGTTGTATTATAACTTGGAGAAATTGGATGTCGACACTAACCTAGACAAAGTCAACTACCACTTTATTCTGTATAAACTACCTAAAGGGTGGAAACACTAGCCATATATAAACGTATGTGGGAAAAGTATAAATTAATGCCTTGACAGTACCCTAAAAACAAACTACATTGCATTACTGTTTCATTAATTAGACTTTTCAAATATAATGTTGGTTTTACAGAAAAGTGGCTACACTTGCGACTAGAAGTGCTGCCAGAAATCATGCACTTCTGAAAGTAAACATTATTTACTGTTAATGGGTTAAAACAACTTCTTGTTCCTAAAAAAAATTGATGAATTATACTTACTCCAGGTAGAAAATAACGCAATGCCTTAGCGTCATCTGAAACACAACTATTTGCAATACTGTGCGGATAAACATAAAGAAACCCAAACATTATACCCACCTCTCACTCCCACCGTCGCAGCGCTACGGGACGAAGTGTCACCGACGCTATCTATCTTTGTTTCGATGTATTAATCAGTTTATTACGGCTCTCTCCAGAGGCAGTGACGAGAGTTTGCTTTTAACACCAGATATGCAATAACACACCATTATCCACCATTACCTGCACTGTGGAGACATGCTTTTTCATTCCGCCACCCCCCTCGTTAAAGACTGCGAGCCACTGGTAATGTATGATGGATCACTGTTCTCAGGGATTTATAGTGTTAAGTTTGGTATGTGGTTGGCAGCACTGATTTTAGTAAGAGTATGCTGTTAAGAATTGATAACAACCTAGTTGGATTTAAAATAAAGATTTCGGCCAGCGTTGTTGCATTTTATTGTGCTTCCTTGGTAAATAGGTTCGTACAGTTATAAACATTAGAACACGTTAACATTCTAAGGTCAGTTTTCTGCTGATGGGCCGGTAAAAAAAGGAATTGGTAAAAACTATAATTAAGTATTAGTTGGAATTTTATCTATGATTTAAGTTTTTTTTAAATTTAAACCTTTTTGTGAGCATGGTTGCATTAGTCTGTTCTTTCTCTTTAAAATTTCAATCTAAAAATCTAACCCTAGGGACACAGTTAGGATCCCAATGTTTGTAATATGAATGGTAGAGTATTTCGGATGGTTTTTGGCTCGACAAGGAAAGACACCGAGGTCTAATGTAACGAATGAATACACCTGAAACCTAACTACCCGCCTGTATAGTAACATGTAAACCCTTAGGCTCTGCTTCACGGTCCTGTTTAGCTACTATTTTCAGGTTGTTGGAGGGTTTTTTTAACTGATTCCAATTTCATAAGAATGTTGAAATGTTTACGTGATATTTACTGAAACTTGTTAAAGATATTTTGACTTCAAGACCATTGAAGTATCAACACAGGATGGTTTCCAGACTACAAATTTAAGTAACTACAATTACATTCTTCTCTATAAATTTCTTGAACAGCTTAACTTGTTTCAATTACTACTAATCTACTCCATACGTATTTTCTTTCCGACAAATAAAACCGACAATACTAATTCTCATTCCCCTCCATCCCACAACTTCGAGTTCGACAGAACAGGTGAATGTTTGGAAGTCAATGGTCCCCGACGGCAGTTTTATGAACCCACAGTTTCACTGGAGTTAAAGGAACAGGAAAACTGTTAATTTCACCGAGAGCGCGTGGAACGTTTAACTTCCAAGTTGGCCTCGCCTCGCCGCGCGGTTAAAACTTGGAACGTTTGTTTTGCCACAATCCCCGAAGTGGTTTACCGATTTAATGTATTACATTGCTACTCTGAACATTATTACAGGCTGCGTCGAGATCTACGTGTTCGGTTTGTCTTTTGTTAGGTTCAGGTTGACGTAGTGTTAAAAGTAATAAACCAGCTGATCTTGGTCTGTACAAAGTTGTCACTCATTCCTTACTCATATTTGCCTTAAAATACTCAAAATAGGGTTATGTGCCAGTGTCACTAAAATATCTCTTACAAGCCAGTTATGGTGAGTTATAGTGGAATTATAAGATAAGTAGAACTATGTTTAATTTACGAAACGAAATTTACACAGCTAAAAGTCGTTACACGGCCTAATTTTTTATGAAGTAAAGGATTTGGACTAATTTGCCACGATTTGAATCGATTGTTCTAAAATACTAAAATATCGTAGGATGTATCGAAGTCTGACGTCATACAAATTCTAACTTATTTGTTTATTTTTAACATTTTACTAAATTTCCAAATTATCATATCCTCAATTTGAAATTTCTATCTAAAAAAAACTAATAGTATCAGTTGCATGGCATATGTTATTTTCCAATATGTCTCTTATTGTTAATTAACATAGATAGCTTGGATTATGTGACCAAATGTGATGTGAACCAATTGGGAACATCAAAAACTGTCAACTATAGTTAGTCATCAAATACAGCCATTCCACTTTGATTAATTAGTCAAAAAACTTCAAAACTATCTCTTTTTGAGAATTTTCCATTTAAGGAATCGGCTTTAACCATAGGTCTCACTGTAAGACCTGGGCCTGGAACCGATTTAATGTTTCGTGTTGGTCTCCCCAGACGGAAAGAACACTATCAGCTCAAATTCATCAATCGATATTTTACTGAAAAAATAAACTTTATTACCTTCCCATGTAGAAGCAAACTCAAGTACTACTGGTTTATCAAACTAATGATATTCATTTAAAATAGGGAAAAATCTTATTTGTTTAAGGAAATGTTTTGGTAAAAATCCATTATCTTTATTTACGTATCTTTATTTACTTTCCGTAAAAATCCAATCAGGCAAATGAAAATTCGCATAATC